CGGCCTGGCAAACCCAGCCCTGCGCGGGCGGGGGCGGAGGCGTCGGTGCCCTCCTGCCCTGTAAGCACCTACCTCTCGCCTGGGCAGGGAGTGAGCTATAGGGGTTGGTTTGTCTCCGGACTTGTATATTTAACACTCATCTGTATTTAGCATTCACCTCTTTCTCACTGCGCTCTAAGTCGCTTTAAAACGGGTCTTATCATTTAGCGCCTTTTATCAGCGCAAATTCTTTCACCCTGGTGTTTTCAAACATTACTGCACAACCTCCCCGTCTCCGTTTCAGCGCGGAGCATCCCCTGGCAGTCGCTTATTCGACGCCTTCCTTCCCCCATCCCTTACATTTATTTTGCGTTTTAAAAGGTTGTGTGCAAAAGGGAAAAAAAAATCTGCCCGCAAATTAATACCGCAAAATGGCTTTGGCTGCAGCGGGGGGAGATGCCGCCGACCCGGCGGAGCCCCTCTCGCCTGCTCTAGGGGGCTTGAGCTGGGAGTTGTACTGGGAGGACATGGGATTTACGAGGGAAGGGTTCCCACCTCTTTAATAATTTTTCCTCCTCGGTGTATAGTGCTGTTATTGACCATATCCACGATGGCCACTCCCAAGTTACATCGGATCCCGAAGGAAATGCAGAATCCCAGTCCGCTCATGATGGCAATGATGTACCTCCGGGGCAGCCCGAAGCAGGTACAGTCGCACAGCGGGGCTTTCTTCTCGGGCACTTCCATGGGCTTTCCATCTTCCGTCAGCTCGATGGTGTCCCCGGGCTTCTGCCTCTTCTCTAGGACTCTGCCCGACACAAGAAGGGAAAGTCAAGCCCCTGCCTGAACGCTCAGCCACTTCGGGAAGCTGAAGGCTTAAGTTCACCGCTCCCCCCGCCCCTTTGGCTCGGCTTGGATTGATTTGAGGATTTATTCCTTGTTTTCCAGTCACCTTCAGCTGTTCTTTAGCAATGACCTGTGGGAGTCACGATTAGTCATCCCCAACTCCCCCCGCCACCCCGCCGCAGAAGCCCAGGGAGGAGCTCTAGCTGAGAATTGCTCATCTATCATTAATGACTTCTGCTTAAATATGTAGGACGCATTAAGAAGACATCATCTGTAGCCACTGCAGAGGCGCCATGTTGGGCAGCCCAAGAGGCATAGTATGGAAACCGAAACAGCCTTTTGGAGAAGGTTTTATTCCCTCCTTGCTCTATTAGAAACACCAAGGGGGGTGATCTTGGTGTGCACCTCGCTTCGGGTCTGGGAACAAAAGAAATATTAACAAAAAGGGAGGAGGAGCGATATTGCTACTTATTTTAGATTTGCAAAATGGCTGTCACATGCAGTGGAAGAAAACATGACCGTCTTTAGAGAACTGGCATCTCCGGAGGAGTCTCCAAAAGATCGCATCTGATCAGCTACCCGTTGTGAACGTGTGATCGCTTAGCACGTTTAACCTTCCCAGATCGATCTCATTGCCCCCACTCCCTTGTTTTTACGTGAGAATCCCACCTCCTAGAAAACAATGTGCAGGAATCTGAAGGGGAACGGTTATTTGCAGCTATTTCGAATCAACAGAAAACTACCGAAAAAAACCCCCTGCCATCCACGAAAGGTGACTTAGAACATTTCATTTTATTTCTTCTTTGGTGCAAAAGCTTTAAAAATGCCGTGTCGGTAGTTAGAAAGATCGGGTTTATCGCACAAGTGTCCCATGCGGAATCTCTTAATCTTCTTTTGTAGTCACTGAGGTATTTAAAAGTCAGAAAACCTGACGGCTTCCAGCCCGGCTCCAGCTCCTGAGGAGCGCCTCCCTGACGGTTTCCCGACACTCTGGGCTCTCCCACCGCCGCCCTCACCCCTGCTCTAGGAGCGTTTTCTCACGTCAGAAATTCTCCTCGGAGGAGCACCTCTTTGAGGTTAACTCATCCGGCTAATGGGGCAGTACCAATTAGCAGAATAAGGCTCAAAAGGTTCTCCGTGCTTTGGAGAAAACCCCTGTGTTTTCTCCAGTATTTTCTCCAAATGCAGGGATTTTCTCCAATAGATACTCGGTTGAAATCCTCCCGATTTTTCTTTGCTGGGAGAATTATTTCCATGCCTGAAGACCGCAGCATTAAGAAATATCTTAAAGTTGTGAATAAAATAAACCACGGTGGGTTTATGTCCAAAATTCGTTCGTGTGAATAAAAAATGGTGTGGAAGTGTCTTCTCCCTGAATGGGCTTCTTGTCCTCGGAAAGACACTGAGGTATTAGGGACGGGGGGACTATTTTAATCCTAAGAATCGGAAACCAAATAGTTCAGTCCCGTGCGTTGAAAAAGATCAGTAAATCGCGCATTTGTTAATGAAGGGGGAGCTCAAACGGAGTTTTGCTGGAAAAGACAAACACCGTTTCTCCATTACTCGCTGTGTGACTACATAGAAAGCAGTAGACACGACCGTTTTATTTATATGTTGTAGAGACTTTTAGGGCGAGAAAGAGGTCTGTTTCCTTAATTGTATTTTAAGCAGTTATTCTGGATTATCAGTATTTCTTTTTCTTTTTCTGACCATTGAAAATGACTTAAATATGACCAAAAACTATAGGATATTCACTGCGTTGTTGATGGCTTTGGTTTTGCTTTTGGCTTTTCAAAATTGTACCCTTCCTACTAAAATGGAAAACTTAATTTTGTCTTTATCACTTCACTGATATGTCCCCTTTCCTGAAAATGGCAGCAGAAGTTGTGACTCATGCTGTGGAACAGCCTTGTGCCGGTGCCCAACACTGCCGCATAGGTATGGAAAAAAGACTTTTACGTGACCTACCCTAGGCAGATAAATCCGCAGTTACCTTTAATCTGTAATTCGAAAAACAAAACCAAAACCACCTTCGGGGTAATTTCTAGCAGAGGGGACAATCGAAAATACATTGGAATTTCACAGGTTATTCTCAAACGTCCTGGAGGTCACTAAAGTCGCCAGATCGGATGGAGCACGGTGTGTCAACTTGAGCGCATACACTTTTTAGGTATGCGAGAATTTGGGCTTCTTTTTCTGGCTGTGCAGGGCTCGAAGACGGTACAAATGTTCTGTACACACAGAAACATACTGTTGAGTGATGCTTTTGAGTTTAGCAATTGCAGTTGTGTATTACTTATAAGACAAGTGGATGCTTCTCAAGGCAGACGGATAAATAATTAAACACATCCCTGTATGTGTTTCAGCTTCAGGAGAAAAAAAAAATCGTTCGGGTATCAATTATTTATACATCTCCATGTTTATCTTCCTATGACGATGAATTACACAAGGGACAAGACTAATCGAAACCAGGAAAGATTATTATTATTATTTTTTAATGATTGGTAAGGGCAGGGGGAAAGATCCCGTGACTGCATTGCAAAATTAACACGGAACAAAAATACAGGGAGCTTCTCTCTCCTGATTATGATTTCAAGATGGGATCCTGGTTTTGTGGGAGAAAGATGGGGTAATCTTTCGCTACATATTTACTGACATCGTCTGCGAATCAGATAGAGAAGTTAGGAGGGTGCCATATTGAGAAGCTTCAGCACTAGTTTCTAGGATCCAGATTATATCAGCAGTATCTCAACAGCTCCCAGCCCCTCCGCCACTAACCTCCCCAAAGCATTCGCCCTCCTTCAGCAGCTGGCGGTTAAGAAAAGCTTCCAATTATTCCTAGGAAGTAGAGCCCTGTAAGAGATCTCAGTCTTACCTGTAGAGTTGACCAAGCGATTTTCCAGCAAAATTCTTCAATCCCTCCTTGCCAGGGGTCAAAATCCTTTGTTTTACCGACTCCATTCCTGCAGGGGTGCTCGCTGGATTCTGCTCTGCTCTGGATAGGGCACCGCTACGAGCAACGATGGTTCATATTGGTTTAATCTCTTAACTTTCCCCCCTCATTAAATGGCTATCAGTGCACCTCCGGGCGAAGGGAGAGTGAGAGGAAGCGTGCGCGCCCGTGTGTGTGTGAGAGAGGGAGAGGGAGAGACGGCGTGCGGAGCCGGGGGGGGAGAGGGCGAGGGCGAGGGAGCGCGCCTGTGTGCGGCGGCGAGCGGGGCGTCGGAGAGCGCTGCAGGCAGCCCCCGGCTTTCCCGGCAGCGCCGAGTTGCCAGGCACGGTCAGAAAGTCTTCTCGGCCTTGCAGGGTGCAGTGGTGGCGGGTGGAGGCAGTGCCATGCCCGGCTGGGAGGGGACGGAGATCCCTTTGCGGGAGCGTTTCAGAGCAATCTCGGTTTGGCGCTGGCGGTGTCCCCGGCTGTAGAGCTGGCGGGGGAGGGGTGCGATTCGCCGCCGTAGGCAGACAGCTGCGAAGCACCCCGCGCCCCGGAGCCGCTGGGCAAAATCCT